GACCCCTAGTGCTTTATCAGGAAATTGAATGCATCCAGGGACACCTAACCATTCTTCTTCTTCTTCTTGTGCCATATCCGTTATCGGACGTTGGCGATCCTGTTTTTATCAGCAGCCGCACGAAAAAGTGCTGCTGAGTTTTGTCCAAACCAGTCCCTTAGATTTTGAAGCCACGATGTTCTTCTTCTGCCTGGACCTCGTTTGCCTTCCATCTTTCCCTGGAGGATGAAATGGAGGATGCCGTGTTTTTCTGGGTGTCGCATCACATGTCTGAAATATTCTAATTTTCGTTTTTTAATTGTTTTGATGATTTCCCTTGGCTTTCCCAGGCGGCTTATCCCCTCCTCATTTCTGATCTTGTCAACCCAGCTTCTACGTAACAGCCGCCTGTAAATCCACATTTCAAATGCTTCTAGTCTCTTCAGGTGGCCTTCTGTCAGGGACCAATTCTCTACTCCATAGAGCAGGATAGAAAAAATATAGCATCTGACAAGCCTGATTTTCAGTCTTAGGCTTAGGTCGTGACTGCAGAAGACCTTTTTCATTTTTGAAGAATGCTGTTCGAGCTTTTTCTAGCCTAGTCTTTACTTCAGTGGTCATGTCCCAGCTTCCATGTAAATATGAAACCCACAGCCAAACTTTTTAAATTCATGTATTTCTCCAAACCATGCTTCCTCTAAGTTGGAATACATGATAGCGAAGGGAACTTCTTAATCTCTCTTTGCCATATACCTCTCCTGTTAATTCAACCAACGGTTTACAGTAGATATAAGTCAGTGCAAGTTTTACCCTTTATATTATCCAGTGGAGATGTGATGATTTAATCTGAGCATTTTGCAAATATTTTACACATTCATGATAATATTGACAAATCAAGTTCAATGTGAATGGAGTATCTCTGGGATATGATCTTGGCTCTAGGGAAGTCTGAGCAGATGTATGACCCCACCACAATATGCTAAGTTGAGCTTACTCTGGATGTAGTATGTTGTGTGAGGTCTGCTATTGTGGTTGGTAGATGATGTGTATGTTGTGTGAACTGAATCCGTAGCTGGCTTATTCAGTAAAGCACTGCTAAAGGAACCATGGCTTAGCATGTTTGGTGAGGCTTGGAACGAAATGGGTCCCGAGTGTGTAGCATGCGACAGCCAGCATGTTTAATCCAGTGAAATACTATACTGCTTATTTTATCTCATTACAGATCAAAGGCTTGCCTGAGGGGTTTAAATTTCCTAAAATTGGTTCCAATTATTCCATTCACACAGTGGAAAAAACATGGAAAGCTCTGCAGGATTTTCAGGAAGGAAATGCCATTTTCACTTTTCCAAATACTCCAGTGAAATGCGCAGGGGCGCCACAAAAGATCATGTATCTGACAGAAGCGTACCTGAGAAAGGTATGTACCAGCCACTGCCACCTAATGTTGTTGCCTAAACAGGTATCAAAAACGTAATCCCAAAGGCCAAGGCTATTGAAAATACACTTTTTCTAGTTTAAACTGCTAGAATATAAGCGTAAAGTATGGATAGATTTAGAATGCTCCTCCAATTGGAAAAAAATATAAGCAGTTTTGATTAGCAGTTAGGACCCAACTAGTTAAATCAGCATAAATTTGCACATAGGACTAAAACTATAGTATTCATTAAGCATATCTAATGTATTGATGCAGACATCAAATTGAGACATTCGGATTCAGTTTAGTTTTGTATGTATCATGAATCCCATCACTGCAAATGTAAACTGTGTTTTATTAGGTGCCATTCACCCGACAGGTTGGGTGAATCATTTACTGTGATTTCTTCAAAAACCGTTAGCTTAAATCATTTTGGGCAGACTATATAAACCCAGTTATGGATGATAAGAAATAAGGACTCTGCAGGGGGCTGGTCTAGGAGATTATTTGACTGATCAAATATAAAAGTACTGATAAGAACAAGAATTGTGAATTCAGGGATTTTCAAGAAGGCCTCACTTTTTCTTCTCATTTTTCCCTAGACTGGAAAACGGTCCAAAGCCAAGATCATATTCAACACTTCCCTCGGAGTGATATTTGGTGTTAAGAAGTATGCTGATGCTCTACTGGAGATTATCAAAGAAAGAGATATCGCCGTGAACTACAGATGGAACCTTGTGGAAGTCCGAGCAGATAAGCAGGAAGCCGTCTTTGAAAACCTGGACAAAGCTGGGGAAACGCAAGTTTATCAGGTGAGCAAATGGAATTTTTCAGGGGTTTCTAGGTGAATTTCTTGTTTATGGTTGCTTGTCTCTTTAGAAGTGGCAGGGGGGAAAAACGGGTGGATGGAGAATAGGATGAGACTTTTTGAAACATACCCACGCAGCACTATCCGTCCTTATGATATGAAAGTCAGAGGCAGCAAGATTACAGGTAGTTCTTGGTGGATAGTTTTAATTCAATGCAGCCATTAGATCAGGGGTCCTCAACCCCCAGTCCATGGACCGGCACCAGTCCGTGGCATGCAAGAAACGAGTCCACACAAGCAAAGCCCCATCCATGGGATGCAGACAGTACATGAAACCACGCCCCCTCCGGTCTGCGGAAAAACCTCTCTCCACGGAACCGGCCCCTAGTGCCAAAAAGACTGGGGACCTCTGCATTAGATGAAACATCACACGACTTCACCACTTAGCAATAGCAGTTTCAGCTGTTAGTTCAAGGGCATCACTCTTCTCCTTTCCTGCCCCGCTCGCCTCTTTTAACATCCCCGCGCCCGTCTTCCTCTCATTTTTGCTCTCTTCTCCAAGTTGCTACTTTGCTGTCCCCAACTGACCTTCGCCATCTTTTTCCTTCCATTGCTGACCACTCCTGACCCTGTACACGGCAGCTACTGGCTGCTTATGGCCTTCTCTAGGAGACGTGGCGACACAGTGGTTAGAATGCAGTATTGCAGGCTAATTCACTGTTCACTGCCAGGAGTTCGATCCTGACCGGCTCAAGGTTGACTCAGCCTTCCATCCTTCCGAGGTCAATAAAATGAGGACCCAGATTGTTGGGGGCAAGAGGCCGAGTCTGTAAACCGCTTAGAGAGGGCTGTAAAGCACTGTGAAGCGGTACAGAAGTCTAAGTGCTATTGCTATTGTTTCTGCGGCTAGGGTGCCAAGTGCCCTAATTGATCACCAAAAGACCTGAGCAAGTGGCTGTTAAGCAACGATTACCCGTAAGCTGTTATAGAAGAAAGGGCCAAACCTGGAAGTTCTCCAGTTTAGTTTTCTCAGTTTCTTATAGTCAAGGAACCCTCATCTCAGTTGGGGAATTTGGCGACGTCCAACCTGAGATTGCAAATCAGTCTCATTGGTGAGGAGTCCTGGGGGCTCTCTGAGCTTGGTGACTTTTTGTGATTTTTTTTTTGTGATTTTATTAAATTTATACCCCGCCCTTCTCCCGGAGGACTCAGGGCGGCTTACAGCCAGTTTAAAACAATGGTACAGTACAATACAAAATTTAAAAAAGATTAAAAATAATTATACAAATTTGGCCGCTTCTACTAAAAATTTAATTTAAAACCCCTCTAAAATACCCCTAGGCCAGTCCTGCCTGCTGAA